AAGCAAGCCAGCTCCTTCCCAAGATGGTGGGGAGCTGAAGCCTGAGGGGGAAAGGCGGCCATGGCCCCCTGCCACTCCTGGGGCACAAGGCTTCTACCTGGCTCCCCGCTATCCATTTTCTGGCTCTAAGTAAACTGAACACAAGCAGTTGCTTAGGGGAGACTGGATCATTTCAGAAGTGGTGTGGCCTCAAAGACCAGCAAAGGATGCTGGGACGAGCCTTCTGAAGCGCCTCTGTGGAGGGGTTTGGGTGAGGCCACAGGACTCCAAGAGCGAATCCCAGTGCTATCACCATCTCACCTCATCGGCTGTACCATGAGAAAGGACCCTGAGGAACTCAGGGGCTCCTCCAGCCTCTGGTAACCTGTGCATCCCTCACCGCACAATAGTTTTTGCAGTTTGTGAACCAAGGTCTCAGTCGTACAGAGATGCTACCACCATCTGTAGATAAGGCAGCTTAAAGGGGACCAAAAGGGGTTCAGGGCCAGATGCTGAATGCTCATGCCTATAATCTTACTCAGAAGGCTGACACTGAGGATCACAGTTCACAGCCAAACTAGTCAGGAAAGTCTGTGCAACTGTTATCTCCAAAAAAAGCCAGATGTGGAGCTGTGGCTCAAGTGGTGAAACCAGTAGCCTTGAGTGGAATGAAGCTAAGGGACAGTACACAGGCCCCGAGTTCAAGCACTAGGACTGGCACAAAAAGAAGTTTAGAAATTGTGGGGCCTACCCCACCCCACCTTCCCCTCTCTCTCTCTCCCTCCCATGCCCAGGAATGTCACTTGCAACCTCACTGCTGCCACCTCTGGGTAGGACTGAGTAACACTGGCCAAAGCCAACTGCTTTAGGTCTATCTTAGAGGTGAAGATCAAAAGGTAAGGACTACCCAGAGGCCCCTCTAGCATCCAGATGAAACCTCACCCTAGATCTGGGAGGCAAGACTACAGCCTCCTTCTCTCCCAGGGCTTCCTTGCCTCCCCCACTCCCCCCCCCCCCCGGCTCCAGCCCTTTCTCACTTTCCTGTCCAGCTCCAACTCAGAGTCCTCTTAGTCCCTCCCTTCCTACTATCATCCCTATCCCCCATTACTTTTCACTAAGAGATGGAGGCCTTGAAAGGAGAAAGTATTTGCCCAAGGTCACATTTTCCTTTCTGCAACAAGCATTTATGGAAAGCTAACAGCTGGCCTGGGTACTGGGGAGAGCTGAGGAGCCAGGAGCCAGAGGAGGGGAGAACGGCCCTGTGGCCCTGCCAAAGCGCTGCATTTCCCAAGGAGGCGCCCTTGGCTCTGGTCCTAAAGTATGCGAAAATGAGTAGGAGCTCACCCGGGCAGAAATGGTGCAATGAGTCCTGCTTTTTGGTTTGTGTTGTGGTTTTCTGTTCCAGTCTAAACCAGGCGGGGTCTGATGTAAGCATTTTCTGCAGGGATCCCCTTCTTGTGCCTGCTCTCTCCCTAGCAACTCTGCCACATCAAGCTCTCGGGGAAAGTGACCTAGTCATCAGAAAGTGGCATGCGGAGCCAGCGATCACAGGGACCACACCAAGGAGGCTGGACCTAAGTGCCTGACATGGACCCACAAACGTGTCCAAGGCCAGGGACCACCAGCAGCTTGGGGGTCTGCTCAGCACTGGCCCAGGTCTTCCCCTCTGATTGGGGTGTGGCTCCAGAGGTCCACAGCCACTTCAAGCCACCAGCAGTAACCTCAAGAACAAGCTCTGCAGAAAGAGGGGCAACACAGCAGGCATTAGGCATGGTTGGGGAACTGCCCATGCGGTGCTCCAGGCAGCCTGTTCCCAGACTGTGTTCCTGAAAGTGGCCTCTGGGTCCCTCCAGAAACTAAATCCCCCTGGGACATCTGCCTAAGCTCCAGATTCCTTTCTGCCTCCTCACCTCTGAATCTCAGTGTAGTCACGGGCCCTGGGGAAGGACACGTACAGGACCTCTGATCCTTTTATTTTCTCCTCTCTTTTCCCACCTAGCCCTGGCCCCTCCCACCTCCCTGTCTGCCCTCTCGGTTCCCAGCCATCCCAGCAAGCAAAGCGAGCAGAAAATGCCCATTAAATGCTTCAATGAACATCAAAAACTCCATTCCACATCCTCAAAAAGGACCAGAGCAAGTCCCTTTCTGTGCCTCAGTTTCCCTTCAGGAAAAATGACCCCCGATAACCCCAATCAGAAAGGAGGCAATGTGTCAGCAGTGGGAAGTTACAGGAGTTCTTTGAAACAAGTAAAGAAAACAAACCAGACTTTTGTTGACATGGGAACTCGGCCTAAGCACCAAGGACTGTATGATGAAACTATCTGCACCACTCATGCAGCTATCAAGGATTTTCAAACTCGTTTCCTCAGGGGTGGGAGGGAGTGTGCATCCTGACCAGCTTCTGAAAGAGGTTCCCCCTAAGCTTCTGAGCTAGACACCCAGCTGCTTTCATACAAGTAGGAAACCCAAGCATTCTTGAGGTCATGTGGCACACTCGGGTTTGCACACAGCTACATGGTAGCTGAGCTTTCCTTTGAATCTAGTATAACCTCTGGTGCTGTCCTCTTCATCTTTAACCTCACCTATTACATCCCCCACTAGGAGCAAGATGCTGGACAATTCATTCCTTCTTGACTGCCAGTCCCTAGTGCACTGCCCTGTTCTGCCATCAGCCAGTTGTCTGTGGGTGCAGGGAGGATGAATGCAAAACCCTTTGTCCCAACTGTGGGGACCCAAAGGCCTAGGGTGGCAGCTGAGACGTTTCTCTGAGTTCCACAGACCTGGAGACAAGCTTTCCTCTTCCATGGCACTGCTCTTGCCCCATACCACCTGGGGAATGGTAATGAATGCGGCCTTAGTGCTCAGCGAGGCCCACTGTGTGCCATGTGGCCTGCTACATTACAGGCTGTGCCTTGAGGCGGCATTCACACCTATGGAATCAGTCACTTGGGGAGACTTGAGTGGGAAAGAAGAGCAGGCTTCCAACTTCCACAATGGATCAAACCCTGAATTGCGGGTGTTTTCTTGGCATGCAACTGAAGACCGTTGAGGGGAACAGGTGTGGATGCCTTCCTTTCACCAGGTTTTGGAGTCAGCACGGGGAGGCCAGAATCCCTGCTCTGCAAGATCTCAGAAGGCTATAACAGGGGGAGTGAGACAGAAGATGGGAAAGCAAAGCAGCCTGAGTGAGGCTGAGGTACAGCTTTGGCTGCGCTGGACCACTGCCCTTAATCCAGAGCGCTTTGTCCCAGTGACAAGCAATCACTGCTGCCATTACCATTCAGCTCCTTACAAAGTAGCTTATCTGTCTTCCTGTCACTCCTCCCTGCCAGGCACGAGGCTTTCTCTTCCAGCCTGCACTGTCTGGCTCTCACAGGAACATTTTTGGAGACTAAGAAAAATTGGTTTTGGCTTTTCAGGAATGAGTGAAAGCTAGAGTCAAGCAACTCCAAACCATGTGTAGGCCTTGATTTGGCAGATTTTGAGCTTCTGATCCTGCTTCTAAGTCTTCTTCTTCCAGGAAGTCAGCCCTTAGCTTTTTAGCCAGAGTTGCTTCCCTGGTCCAGGGGAAGAGTCCAATGTTTTCTACTTCCAAGAGCTGCAGTACCATACGTGCTGAGTGTCCAGAGGACAGAAAGAACAGATTTTGAGCACTGGCAGTGTGCTGGGTGCTGCACTGGGTGCCTTCTGCTAGCCGCAATGGCAAAGAGGGCAAGGTAGGGCAAGTGAGATGATTTTATTCTTTTTCATGTTCGAGTGAATGTGCTGGGGTACAATGAGGGGAACGATACAAGCACCAAGCCCTCTAGAACATTGTCCCTTTGTCAATGCACCTGTGCTCTGCTCACCAAAGCTGACCCTGCTTTCCCAGATGTGACAGTTGAGGCCCTGGGAAGGCACTTGAACATCCTCAACTTGGTTCTGTAGCTCTGTGTAGGTGTGTGCATGCACAGACACACATGTGCGTGCACACACACATCACAGACACACAGACAGACACATACACATACAAACAGATAGAGGGTCCTTTACCCTAAAGCTTCATTTAGGTTTACGTTTAGATCAACCACCCCTGTTTCCTGGCTGCAGGCAGAAGTCAAAAGAGCCATGAGACCATGGCAAGAGTAATACCAGGTGTCAGAAACTTTGATCAGTGCTGGATTGGGCAGGAAAGGCCTTCTGCCTTCCTCCTTCCCTCTGTGTGTCTCTGTCTTTCTTTGTCTTCCTCCTTCCCTGTCTGTCTCTGTCTTTTTCCATCCTGAGATGTTTCTTCATTACCTTCCACAGTGCTAAGACTAAATGCTATAGGTGAACACATCTCCTCGGTCCTAAAGCCCAGGCACAATCCCACCACCTACCTTATCCCTGCTCAGAGCAGTTCTGGTGATAGGCTGCCTGGCATATTATCTCTCTGGGCCAGTGGAGCTGCCCAGGTGCCTCCAAGCTTGCAAGTAGCAGAGCAAACAGCAGGATCTGAGCTTTCAGCCTTTATGTGAGGCAAGGTATCACTCTGACTTTCCAAAGAGGACAAGGCTCTTGGCTCCCCCTGCCCCCATCAAAACAATCCAGCCACAGAGCCTGTGTGCTGCAGATTGCCTTGATAGCACCACAGTGACACTTGATTCGGCGCCTTCTGTCTGAGCACAAGCAACTCCTTTCCCGTGGCCCTCCCTGAGATCGCCCTGTGCCCAGCACATGTTCCTCACAAACCCCCATCAACTCCTCTTCCATAGGTTCTGAACCAGTGAGGAGTTGCTCCAGGTGAGCCAGCCAGTTCAGATTTCTCATCTCGAAAATGGACATAAGAGTGCTGCGGGGTGGAGGGTGGGGGGTGGGGGGGTCAGACTCCCTGAATTTCGAAGCAATCAGTACTAGGGTCACCCTGCCCCCTCCCTGGAGAAGTAAGGACTTATGGGTGAGAGAACTGATGTCCCGAGTTGTATCCTGCAGGACACGGATGGGTGCGTGGCCCTCGCTGCCTCCCCGTCTGGCTGCCTGGGACGGCGAGTCGACAGCCCTACCTGGAACAGGTGCCCAGCTTGTGGGGCCCGCGGAGGGTCGGGCGGGCGCCGGACGTAGGCTCCCTCGAGTGGGCAGTGCCGGACCTGGCCAGACCGAGGTGGCGGCGATTGCTGGGAGCGGGACGCAGCGGGGAGCGCTCGGGGAGGCGAGGAGGCCCGGACTGGGCTCACCCGCAGGAGAACAAACAGGTTTTCTCCGGCTGCCCGGAGCCTCGCCCCTCGCCCCTCCCCTCGTCCGGCCCCCTTCCTCTGCCCTCTCCTAGGGTAGGTAGATGCGCCTGGCACATTCCGCACATTCTCCCGCCAGTGTCCTCCTCCTGCCCGCCCCTTTCCAGCCCCGCCCCCTCGGGGCTGCGGGAGAAATCAAGGCGCGGGCTCCCCACGCCGAACCCAGAGAGAGCTCCAGAAGGTTTCGCCGCGTGGAAAACTTCCAGGCAAATTCCTCCGGGCTCGCGGTACCCGGGCCAGGAAGCCTCCACCACGTGAAGGGCCCCCACTGCCTAGCGGCGCCCCTGCCCGCGCCTGCCGAAATCTGGCCCAGGCTCAGGGCCAACGACTTCCACAGATGCTGTCGGGTCAATTCTGTCAACTACTGTGCCTAGATCCATTTTACAGATGGAGATCCCAGACACAGGCAGGGAGGGGGCGGGAGTACTGGTGGCTGAGATCATGCAGGAAGTCTATGAAGCAGAGAGGGAGGGGAAAGCAGCGAGGGAGCTGCTGCTGTCAGCATCAGGCCCAGGACAACTGACACCCTGGAAGGCTATGCAGGGAAAGGGGTGCAGCCCCCCTCAAGACACAATAAACAAGGCTACCTCACACACTAGACTCGAAGACACATTCAGGCTCCAGAGTCCATGCACTGGGATACATGTCATTCATTTAAGCTGCTCAACAGTCCCTGTGATGGCAGGCTTGGTCCTGGTTTGAGGGCTACGATGGACAGAGCAGCAAAAGGAAGCTCCAAACTGAGGACCAGCGGTTCAACCCTGTAATCCCAGCTACTCAGGACGCTGATATAGGAGGATCACCATTTGGAGTTAGTCCAACTTCACAAGACTCACATCTCCAATTAACCACTAAAAATCTGGAAGTAGACCTGTGCCTTAAGCCATAGATTATCAGCATTGAGGGGAAAAAAAGTGCCCAATCCATGCCTACGCCCTGACTGCAGGTGCCAGCTCCACTACCAGCACACAGACAGACAGACACATACACACACACACACACACACACACACACACACACACACACAAATTTACCACCACCAACTCTCTCACCACCTGTGAGGCTAAGGAAGTCCCTCCACAAGACGGGACACTTAAGCCAGCCCAAGCAATGGCAGAGAATTAGCCAGGAATCAAAAGAATGGACCAACCAACACAACAGGTCCTCCTTACTCGGGTGGTGTGAGTCTGTAGCCCAGAGACCCTCAAATCCACCCACTCCTCTCCATGGCCACAGGCTCAGCCTCCTAGCTGGCTTTTCAGCCTCGAAATCAGTTGAGACACTTAGATGGGTGAATATCACTATGTTCCTCTTCGTCTCGATTGCTTCCCATAGCTTTTGGGATCAAAGCTGAAGTTCTGAACATGACCCAAGGATTTGGCTGTGGATGACCTCTCTCTGCAAGCCCACCCACTGTGTTCTTTTTCTTCAGTACAGTACATTCACAGTGGCCTTCTGTGTCTTCTAAACATATCATGTCTCCTTGTACCTTCAGCTGCCCACACTCCTCCACTGCCCTTCCTGTATCCCAAGTCTGCCTAGTGAACTCAATTACTCTTCAAGTGTTCACTCAAGTATTCCAAACCCTCTCGTGCCTGTGACCCAGTCAAGCCGATCACTTCCTTCTATGCACTACCTTAGTTCCCTCTCAGGACAGTAGCTAACACCCTTCCTTGTTCTGCACAGTGAGCATTGGGAGCTCAGGACTTCATCTGACTCACCACTGGGTCATAGAGACCAGCCCAGCAGCTCTGAAGCATTTGCGAAAAGTATAGGAAATTGAGATCGTGAAAGGAAGGGGCTCCTCTTGGAGGGGTCATCACATTGGAAGGAGGGATACTGTGTGTTCTGAAGGGAATTGTATAGAAAGTCACTCCAGTTCATCTATGGTTCTTACTGTCAAGTGTTTTGCTCCTTATTAATATGGTATGGCTTAGCCTGGTGGCTGGCATCTAATACCTTCCCTTCCCTCGCTGTGGCTCTTGGTGGTCATGGGCGTGGCTTGGCATCCTAGAGTGTGTCACACTCCTCTGGTGTCTGTCCTCCTCATGCAGAAGACATACTGGTGGATCACAGGTCATGGGGAGATGGGAACACTTGTCTCCCAAGGCTGTCATCAAGAAACAGCAAACTCACTCCACAGTTCTAAGTCATTGTGGGCCAGCTAAAGAGAAAGAGAGTGAGTGGGGTCCAAGGGCTAGCTAGGTCTCGAACCCTTCTTATGTTCCCGATGATGCAAAACCCTGCCCAAGACAGCTCTGCCATGTTGTTTTAGCCAAAGAGACCAGCCTTTCCTTAACTCCTCCCTCCTGGCCAGACTGCCAGGCCCTGCAGCGGATTTTGCCTGCAAACGGGTTTGACTCGAATGGTAACTACCCTGCCCTGCCCTGCCCTGCCCACCTGTTCACTGCCCCAGCAGAATCTCCCAACGATGATTTCCACCCCCACTACCTTCCAGAACCACCTGTAGACACTTGCCAGTCTTCCAAACCCCTACTGGCTTTTGTGTGTGTGTGTGTGTGTGTGCGCGCGCGTGCGTGTGTGCGTGCGCGCGCCAGTTCTGGGGCTTAAACTCAGGGCCTGGACACCGTCCTTGAGCATTTTTGTTCAAGGCTAGTGCTCTACCACTTGAACTATAGCTCCACTTCTGGCTCATTTTTTTTTTTTTTTTTGGTGGTTTATTGGAGATAAGGTTGCCCAGGCTGGCTTCGAACCACAATCTTCAGATCTGTTTCTGAGTAGCTAGGATTATAGACATGAGTCACCAGGATCTGGCCCTACAGACATTTGTTTATTTGGTAGTACTAGGGTTTGAACACAGGTCCTCATATTTGCTGGCTGGTACTTTACCACTTGAGCTATGCCCCCAACCCAGTTTTTGCTGGTTATCTTTGAGATACGGTTTCAAGAACTTTTCTGTCTCGACTGACCTTAAACTGTGATCCTTCTGCTCGCAGCCTCCCCAATAATGAGGATGGCGGGCATAAGCCACCAATGCTCAGCCATACTTTCTTTTTTAGCCTCTTCAGGCACCAGACATACCCAGTGACGAGGACTCAGATATATCAAGAGCTCTCCTACCACTGCCGCTCCCCCTGTATAAGATACCCACTTTGTTTGGAATGACAGTTCTTCTTTGAAGATACCAGGTGATCTCCCATACACTCTCAGTTGCCATGCTGTCTTCCTCATGAACCTTCCCTTGGACTCCTCTCAAGTTCCAGTGGCTATTGGCTGCTTCCTAGACTAGGCTCTACCTCTACCTGTCCTGACCTTGGTCCTGTCCCTCTCTGCTTTCCTATCTTTTTATGTCTTAGTCCCTAGCTTTAGCTCTAATATTGGCCAGTGCCCTGGCCTTTCTCATGAAGGCTTGAGTAGCAATGTCACACTTTCAGGGGCCTGAGCAACAGCGTAAGCAAGCCCTCTCGACAAGGTCCTGCTGGTTCCAAATACGGTAGGCTCAGGATAGCCTGGACGATCACAGGAGGTAAAAGGTCTGAAAGGTGGAGGCAGAGTGGCAGGTAGTAACCCTATACTGAGGGAGGCCAGACGAAAGCCCTCAGATGGGGAGGGGGACAGGTGGCTAGGTGAGAGAATAGGCCAGCATCCTATGCTCTAAGGGAGGCCCCATTTCCATCTGGAGGGCTGGGAGTAGGGCTAAGGCAAGCCAATCTAGCTGAAGAGTTCCTAGGTTTGGGAGGGGAAATAGGGAGGGGCCTTGAAAGCTGTCAGGCCCTAAAGATGACCTGGGAAGTGTTCCTACACCACAGAAGACTGGAGACTAAAACAACTTGAACTTTTCAGTTGGACAAATGGGGAAACTGAGGCCCAGAGAGGGTAGATTGCTAATCAAAAATCACAGAGCTAGTCTGACAAGAACGGAGACTAAACTCTGCATGAAATGACTCTCTATGGGTCTCCACCCAGCTGCCTAGAGGCTGGGGTGCTGAGGTTCCTCTGTAGGGAGGGCTGGGCTCCCGCTTGCACCCTAATCCCCTCTTCCCCTCCCTCCTTCCCAGGCCCGCCCTGCCACCTCATCCTCCGAAGCTCTTCAACTGGTTTCCACTTGCTGGGTGACTTGTGAGACTCCCAGCAGGATGCATTCCCTCGAGGCAGGGGTCCCCACACCAGGCAGGACTGGCCCAGAATGAGCCCTCTGGAAGCCTGAACCTGTTCCCGTTTGGAAGCAGCTCCTCTGCTAGTAGCTGCTCCAAACCCTCAGCAGACAGGGTGAGCCCTCCACCCGCTCGCTGTTGCCTTTGGGCCTCCTGCCATGCCTGGCGCTTGCGCTCTTCGGAGTGAGGTCCTGCTCCTGCTCTCTGGCATGCAACACACTGTCCTTTGCCAAGTGCCCCCACTGCATGGGCCAGAAACCAGGCAGACCCAGTCCCAAGCAGGAGCTGTTCTGAGTGTAGGGAGGAAGCAGAGCCGTCACTCCCCCAGGGACAGCACCCATACCCATGGATCATTTCGCCCATCCACTGTGGCCCCACCGGGAGCAGTGACCCCATCTTACAATGAAGGGACATGAGATGCAAGGAGAGGGGGGGAGCAGTGAAGAGATCATGCATCTCCTTACATTTCCCAGCCTGGAGCTTGGACTACTGCTGCTCTTCGAATCCACTGCTTTGAATAAGGCCAGGAAGCAATCACTAGTAGTGCTGGTCTGCATGACCTGATGCCCTAGAACACACACTCGTGTCTTTTGTCTCTGGCTCTGAAGCAGCCCCTGGCCAGGCCTCCAGAGCACGAGTGCACGAGTGGAGCCAAGGCCTTGCTGGCAGATAATTCCCACAAGCCCTGAAGAATGGCTTTTTTTCTTTTTTCTATTTCTTTCTTTTTTTCTTTCTTTCTTTTTTTTTTTTTTTTGCTGCTTTAAGAATCATCCACAGATCGGAAAAAGAATGTTCTAATTGGAAAACCTCCCCGCCATGGTTTTCCGG